ATACAGAGGTGTCAATGAAGACACTCTGACATTACATGTTTCTTTATTGTACACGTGTGTTAAGAAGAGGGAGGAGCTATCTTAGCATTTTCATGGGTTGTCACTGCTCTCTGCTGTTCAGTCGTTTTATTTAGACAAAGTCTTGTGTGACACACGGACAGCAGCCAGAGGAAAAGGGAAGGTTTACAACATGGTTTGGAGTGAGTAGCACTAACGCAAAGACAGGAGGCTGAGCTGGAGGTGACAGAGTTGAAAATGTTAAGGTTTTCATTGGGAGTGACCAGAATGGACAAAATCAGATACGAGTACATCAGAGGGATAGCTCAGGTTGAGTGATTGGGGGATTTTTAATGTTGATGTTTAATATTGGAGCTATCACGCAGCAAGAAGATCACAGAGAATATTTATGGATGTAGTGAAGGAGGCAGAGGGTTGTGTGACAGTAGAGAATGCTAGAGAAGACGACATTTTATCAAGGCTAACTGAAAAGGTTGCCTGAATAGTCAGAGAGGGGTTCCACTGAAGAGCTAGAAGCTCTTTCTGTTTGATAGGAATAGGACATTACTCTAAAATTATAATTGTGATTGCAAATAAAATCATCCTCATTCTGTTTCGTTTTTATTGGCTGTCTGACTCTTAGCCTGATCTCTGGTTTTAAAAAGCAACAAATGTAAAAGTTAGGCTTATTCTTCAAATTGACCCTCATATTTTGGGGACTGTTCACATCCATAGCAGTTATAAACACATTCTCCTTTCTTTGCTGATACCAGAGCATCATTACAAGGGAGGCATCATTATGCTTGCAGTTTATTTGGAGATGAAACTTTTTTTCATTCACTATCTTGGGGAGATTTGTGAAACACCACAGTGCTCACCTGACCTGCAGAAAGAACCTGGAGTCTCTTTTCCTTTAGAATAGGAAATTAAATGGGTAGAAATAGACAGAGCCAACAATGCAGGAAATGACACCAGAATGTGAGCAGTGATAAAAGGACCAAAGTGAGAGAAACTGTGTGAAAGCAGACTTTAGAACTGTCACGCCTCCTTTGTCAATCATGCAGGTGTGGTTTTGATGCTGTGTGCCACCAGCTTTTTGTAAAGCAGGCAGAGGAGTTGAAACACTGTGCCGACTCGCAGCACAGAAGTATTGTGCTGTGTTTGGCCGTTGCATGGCCTGTTATGTTAAATTTGCTCTTAAAGGTCTTTTCAAGAGTTGGGGCACCATATTGAAGCCGTCCAATCAGGTCCATTGTTCGCTGGCCTCCTGCTGCTGACTTGTGCTGGTACCAGTACATGTAGGGATAGTCACTCTCTCCATGGTAGCATTCGATCTGGGCTTGTTGTTGTTCTGGTTTTATCAGAAGATTTAAAGGTGTTTGCTGAATCACAAGTGATGACAGCGCACAGTCTAGAGGACAAAAACCAAACTGAAGGTTCACAGGAAGGATAAATATTGTTATGAGAAAGTACACATATCTTTTTTTTCTACCTACCTGTGAGCAAAGACAAAACCAAAATTCCAAACATTTCAAAACTTTACTGGAGAAAATCCTTAAATAGCAATGATCTATGTAACTGACTTGGAGATAGATATACAGAGGTGTCAATGAAGACACTCTGACATTACATGTTTCTTTATTGTACACGTGTGTTAAGAAGAGGGAGGAGCTATCTTAGCATTTTCATGTGTTTTCACTGCTCTCTGCTGTTCAGTCATTTTATTTAGACATAAAGTGTTTTGTGACACACGGACAGCAGCCAGAGTATTCCTATCTGTTTGATAGGAATAGGACATTACTCTAAAATTATAATTGGATTGCAAATAAAATCATCCTCATTCTATTTCATTCTTATTGGATTTCTGACTCTTAGCCTGATCTCTGGTTTTAAAAAGCAACAAATGTAAAAGTTAGGCTTATTCTTCAAACTGACCCTCATGATTTGGGGACTGTTCACATCCATAGCAGTTATAAACACATTCTCCTGTCTTTGCTGATACCAGAGCATCATTACAAGGGATGCACCATTATGCTTGCAGTTGTACTCTCTTGGGGAGATTTGTGAAACACCACAGTGCTCACCTGATCTGCAGAAAGAAACAGGAGTCTCTTTTCCTTTAGAATAGGAAATTAAATGGGTAGAAATAGACAGAGCCAGCAATGCAGGAAATGACACCAGAATGTGAGCAGTGATAAAGGGACCAAAGTGAGAGAAACTGTGTGAAAGTAGACTCTGGAACTGTCACTTCTCCATGCAGGTGTGGTTTTGATGCTGTGTGCCACCAGCTTTTTGTAAAGCAGGCAGAGGAGTTGAAACACCGTGCTGACTCGCAGCACAGAAGTATTGTGCTGTGTCTGCTGGATTAACATTGGAGATTACAAGCTGAGCTTTGGCCTTTGAATGGCCTGTTATGTTAAATTTGCTCTTAAAGGTCTTTTCAAGAGTTGGGTTTTCATAATGAAGCTGTCCAATCAGGTCCATTGTCCGCTGACCTCCTGCCGCTGACTTGTGCTGGTACCAGAACATGTAGGGATAGCTGTTGTCTCCATGGTAGCAATCGAGCTTGGCTTCTTGCTGTTGTGGTTTTATCAGAAGATTTAAAGGTGATTGCTGAATCACAAGTGCTGACAGCACAGTGTCTAGGACAAAAAGAAAGACTGGTTTGATATTGTCATGAGAAAGTACACACATCTGTTTATTTTCTACCTACCTGCAAACAAAGACAAAGACAATACAACAAACATTTTAAAATCCTTATAGCGATGCTTAATCTTCACTGTCGCTGCAGCGTTCTATATAACTATGATTTAGATATAGATATACAAAGCTATCAATGAAAGCACCCTGACACTACATCTTCCTTTATTGTACATTTGTGATGAGGAGGGAGGAGCTTTCTTTTTACTATGTTCATGTGTCACCACTGCTCTCTGCTGTTCAGTCTTTTGTTTAGACATAAAACATTTTAAAGAGACTGAAGGAAAAACGTTATTTGAACTTTATGGGTGAAAATGGAGAGCAGCATTTATAACTGAAAGCCAGGTTTCTTCCAAAGTGAAATTCATCACTTTCTTTGGAAATTGGTAATGGCAACCAATTTAATTTTGGGGGTTTTATCTGTAATGAAAACCTCAGTGTGAAACTTCTGTTCTTCTGCACATGCTCTACAGGTGTGTGGTGGTGGCTGCTTAATTATTTTGTTGCTTGGGCATAGATGTATGGATATAGATATATATTAAGCATGAAAATGACATGTGCAATGCTATGGCTTCCAGACTGAACAACTTATTTCTTTGCAATGCTTAGTGGGCGTGTCAGAAGTGTTTGTAGTAATCTGTAAATATAAACTCTGTGCAACCGAAGTTTTGCAAATAATGCATCCTTGAAGCATTTAGTACATTTTATCAAGGCAACATGCAGTTTGGATCAAAAATTATAGTCTGAAAACAGCCCAGCATTTTTTGCAGTTTCACTATTTTAACTTGGTACAGTTTCACAAAGTCTGTGCGGTTTCCTGTTGGGGTACTGTTATCTACCAGATCAGGATGAGGGTTTTTTGTATGAGAGCATCACCATCTTTATAACTGTGTATTCGTGCTGCTCCAAAATATTCTCCACTGTCTTCCGGGTGTCGTGGGTTCAGGATATGGAGATAAACTGTTTTTCTCCCATCTCCACTCACCTGAAAGTTGCCTTCAAATGGCTTCTCAACATTTAGATTTGTAAAATAGACGTAGGCAATCAGCTTCAGAGAGGTGTCGCCTTGTGAGCGCTGATACCAGAGAATGGTATCGTAATTAGTGATGTTATGAGTGAAGGTCAGGTTCACTTGTCTGTTTGGTTCCACTAACAGTTGAGTTGGAGACTGAGACAGCTGTTTGTCTTTGCTGAGACAAGCTCCTGGAGAAGAAGAGACGGGGGGGAAAAGGAGAAAGACATGAATATTTACCTTTTTTTTTTTTTTTCTTTTTTTCTTCACATAAACTGATTTTGTAAGAGTTCGGTTTTACCTTTAATCCAGAACACGATTAGGATGGCAACGATGAAACTAGATGGCTTCATGTTGGATGTCAGCACACAAATAGTGTCTTCAATGCTTTGAGAGTCAGAAGGAGAGACAGGAAGTGATGTAGTGAAATCAGAGTTGTTCATCAACAGCTTGTGTTTTTTTTTTTTGGGGGGGGGTGTACTCAATGACAAATGGACTGGTTTTTAAAATAAAAAATGTTTTTTGAGCAGAAATCCTTGCTATTGATGCTTAATTTAAGAATATAAAAATAATGCTGTTCCTCAAAGTCGGTTAGCTCAAAGTGTTGACACTGTGTTTCATGATGTCATCATTACTTCCCTCAAGTTAATTATTAACTGAAAAATTATAAATACGTTTTTTCTTTTAGTGTATAATCTGTTAGATTTCTTGTTATCCAGAAAGCCTCCTTGACAAATACTTCCTATAGCCGTGAGTCTTAGTGCTGCTGAATATGATGACTAATAGGTTCTTCTGTAACAGGAGACATTGGAAGAGGTTTTTGTTTAGAGCAGATGGGTGTTTGATGTACTGTGGTTGACTGGCAGCACAGAAATACGTTGCTGTATGTTCAGGTGCTTTTAGTTTGTTGATGAAAAGTGAGCCGTTCTTTTTATTCGAATTCAAATCCCCCTCTAATTTGAAATTTTCTCTAAACGGTTCCTCCGCGCTGTCATCTTTGAACTGTGTATATCCATATCCAACAAGTTTCAGAGCTGTCTCTCCGGGTAATCGCTGGTACCAAAGCATCACTCTGTAGTCACTTTTATCATGGGTGCAGATTAGCTGTACATCATCATTGACCTTTTTGATTACAGCAGACGGAGACTGACGGACCTCTATCCCCAGAGAGATGCCTGCTGTAAGCAGAGATAGAAAAATTAATGATTTTAAAATAAGCGAATGCAGTGTGTCGCGTCACCATGAAGCAGTTACCTGTGAGGAAAAAGAAAAAAAGAAATCTAATCATAATGTAGAGATGTGGCGATAAAGTCATGAATGTGCTGAAGCGTTTAAATTAAAACAGTCTCTGCTGAAAGCACCATGTCACTGAGCTGATTGCCATTTCAGGAAGAAGCTACGGTAGTAAGATGTAGGCAGAAGGGGAGTGGCTTCAGCTGGAGATGAAGATATTTTAGTTTTTAATTCTTTTATTGTTTAGCTTGTTAAATATCAGAAAATATGGAAAATGCTCATAATCCTTTTCTAAAAGTCCCGCCAATGATAAATGTTTTGATGAGCAAAGATTTACTGCATTGTAAATATAAAACAAACCTCAAACTTGGGAATGTTAGCAGTTTTTTTTAGATGGTGTATCATTGCAGTCCTGCAGGTTATACAGAATATATGCTCTTATTTTAATCATCCATATAAGATATGCTGCTTTAAAAGATTTTTATTTATTAGAAATAATTACCTTTTATTATGAGTAATTGGAAAAAATCAACAAAATAATATGTCAATTAAAAACCAAAAGTACAAAACCAGGTGTCTGATGTCAGTTTGTTTCCATTCTGGTTTCAAACCACTGATGGTTCCAGATTATGGAGTTTTTGTAATGTTCACAGAGGATTTCTGTCATTGTGCTTTGCTTGCTGCGCAGTAGTAGACGGCACTGTCCCCTTGTTGTGCAGCGTTGGCTATCTGAGAGCTGTTTTTTGCTGTACTCCCAGTCAAATCTCCAGAAATAATGAAATTGCTTTTGTACTGATCTTCCATTGTGACTTGTTTGTGGTACAAATACCCGATGAGTTTCATGGCTGTTTCCCCGGGTGGACGCTGGTACCAGAGCATCACATAGTAGTCAGTTTTATCATGGATGCAGAAAATCTGCACTTTTGAACTAACATTCGCGATGATATCAGAAGAAGACTGACGGACCTCAAGCCCGAGAAAAACCCCTAGACCAAAAAAGAAAAGAGAAGCTTTTGATAGCCAATAAATTAAAACAAATACAAAAATCTGTTATTTCCAGGCTTTAAAGAAATTGACATCTTTTAAAATTTTTACCTGGTAGGCAGCAGAAAATTAGAAAGCAGATCATTTTATCTTTAACAACATAAAGCCTTTAGACTTTCTAAGCATTTAGAAGCTTGATAAACAGAGTTTAGTGGATTTAAAAGACTAGAATTAGATCACACCAAGTGTTTATACTAAGAATTAACAGCCCAGCTGACATAACTGAGGTTTAAGAAGGAAAGGATGTGATGATGATACGTCATTGCTGGGAGGAGTTTTCTCTTCAACTGATGTTTCCCTGAAGATTTCTGTGTGCTGGAATAGAACAACATTCTTGTTTACAGATTGAAAAACTGATTTAAATCCTATTTGACTGACTATAACAACCATAAATTGTCATTACTTAGGCTGTGCAGTCTTTAAGGATATCTGAATTAGAGTATTTCACGAGCACTGCATAGTAGTGTCTTACTGCATGAATATGTTTAGTGATGATGTCTTTGCAACTACTAGTGGCAGAAAAGGAAATGTGAACCTTTATAAGGCTTGGAGGAGTGTCTGCTCCTTGGTTTTGTAAACAGTATGTGCTTTAAAAACATCCAACATGGATCAAGTCAAACGACGACCACTACAGCAGGTGCATGGGAGCATGTCTTGTCAAAACCACCAATGATAAAAATTATGTGGAGTTTTTGTAAAGTTCAGAGGCGCTTTCTGTCATTGTGTTTTGCTTGCTGCACAGTAGTACACTGCACTGTGCTCTCGTCCTTTGACTTGGATAGTTAGTGAGCCATTCTTTGCAGAATCGCCCCCAAGATTTCCAGTGATACTGAAAAGATCTCTATATTGTTCTTCAAGTGTGACAGCTACATAGTTTAAAAACCCAATGAGCTTCATAGCCGTGTCTCCAGGCGACTGCTGGTACCAGAACATCATCCTGTAGTCAGTTTTATCATGAGTGCAGAAAATCTGAACTTTGTCACTAGCCTTTGCGACGATATCAGAGGAAGACTGACGAACCTCAATCCCCAGACTAACACCTAGAACAAAGATAAAAGAGAATTTTAGCTTATGAAGGTTGATGCATTTTAGAGAAACAAGCCAAAAAACAGAGTGCAAGTGTTTCCTTAAATACTTAAAGAAATTAGCACCTTTTCAAATTATTACCTGACAAGTAGCAGAAAATTAAAAGGGAGATCATCTTTTCTGTATTCAAAGCTTGACTTTAGATGTGTTTAGAAACTTTATATAAGATTTTAGTGGCTATGAGTTAATGAAATTGGACCACGCAATTGTTTATACTGAGAATCATCTGCCTGTCTGACATGACTGAGGTTTAAGAAGGGAGGAGATGAAGAATCATCACTTTATTGCAGATGAAACTGCAGATTGCTGGGCGGAGCTTTCTCTAAGTAAACTGTCATGTTTGTGCTTTTCTGTGGTTTTTGTGTAAATGTGCCTTTTAGTTGTATTTAAAAATAGATTTAATTGTCGGCATTACTATTAACAGTGTTACAAAAAAATCTAAATTGTGATTAATTATACAGTATTTCAGGATGTGTGAATTAGAGTTTTACAAGTCTAAAGATGGATCTGTGTGTTTCCTACAGGTAAAAAGTAATCTTTCATATGGAGATGCTTTGTTTAAGTATGTGAAAGAGTGCTCTAATATGTGCTTCCTTCCTGGTTATGTAAATTGTACTTAAATTACATGCTTAGTTAAATGAAATAGTGGTTGTATTGTAGCTTGACTAACACAGGTGGTGGGAGCTTGTCTTATCAAAACAAGCAATGATCAAATATGTGAAGCTTTTGTAAAGCTCAAAAAACCTTTTTGTCATTGTGTGTTGCTGCACAGTGGCAGAAAGTGCTCGTGTCCTTTGACTTGAGCCATTCTTTGCAGCATCTCCACCCACAGTTCCAGTGATATTGAAATGATCTCTATGTTGTTCTGCAAATGTGACAGCTGGATAGTTTAATTACCCAGTGAGTTTTATAGCCGTCTCCCTGCAGCTGTTGGGATCAGAGCATCACCCTGTAGTCAGCTGGGATCTAACCAAGATGTGGGAGGAGTCTGTTCAGCTTAAAACCATCCACTTTGATGATTTCATGGTTCTGAGTTTTTGTATTAAAGAAAGGTGTTTTCTACTCAGTGTGCATAGCTTGCTGCACAGTAATACACTGCACTGTGCTCAGGCTTTAGGTCCACTATAAACATAGAAGCATTCTTTGGTTTACTTCCACTCAAGTCTCCTGTAATATTAAAATGTTTCTCAAATGATTTCTCGTGCTCTTTGTTGTTGTAGTTTAAATGTCCAATGCGTTTCAGAGCTTGGTCTCCAGGGGATTTTTGGTACCACTGCATGAATGTGTAGTCGGTCTTTCCATGGCTGCAGACCAGCTGGACTTCGTCTCCACGAGTTCTGAAAACTTCCACGGGTGTTTGGTGGACTTCAACACCCAGACAAAGACCTAGAAGGAGAGAAAATGAACAATAAACCTATAGATGGGTAACCTATAGAGAATATAAAGTGGGATTCTTAAATAGTGAATGTGATTACCAGTGAGCCAAAACAAACTAAATAATGTCAGCATGATGAGCTTCTGTCTGAAAGCAGCACAGTAAGTGACTCTAACATTTTCCCATGCACACTTTTATTGACACCCCCCTCTTTGAAGTAGCTACTGCATGTTTAGATATCAGTATTTCTTGAGCTCCATCGCCACCTACTGGAAGTACATAACAGTCAAGTCATTGAATCCCTCCAGAATATAAACAAATAAATATGAGAGGATATCTTGGAAAAAGTCAAACACCATGTTACTGGGGTAATGTTAAATCTTGTGCAGAGGACAGTGATTATCATGTTGCATGACTATATTCAAGAACAACTGTACGTTGAATCCTTGTAATCATATCTCAGTCCTGTTATCTGGAAAATGGGCCTTGATGCAGTGGACACTGAATAACCACTACGCTACAGATGTAGGGCCAATTTATTAAGGACTGAAAATAACAAAGATGGAAATTGAACCCCAAAACAGCTGGTGTACCAGAAGGTTATTTTTCAAAACCTAAAGCCTAAAGAATGGTTCAGAAATTTCTCTGAATATTTTCAAAACCTGTAGAGATGCTTTGTGTCTAAACATTAAGTGTCACAGAAGCATTAGCATATTCTGTACCAAATTATGCAGAACTTGTAAATATGAATTACCATGGAATTCCCTGTACCGTGAACCCTATGCTGACAGAAAATAAGAAGACGGATCATTTTGTTGGTGTTGACAAAAATCAGATCTCTTGTTGCAATTCCTAGGGGTAGTAAAGGGAATACAGATATTCATAAAGCTTTCAGGAGTAAGTCATTGTCAGTTAATCATGATGGTTATGTCAAATAAAGTTGCACATATTTGCTCATTTGTGCATCCTTGCTGCTTTTGCAAACTGCTTATTATATTAGTGCAATTTTGCATGAATGGATCAATCCATAAGAAAACTACTCAAGCAGGTGCTTGAGAACATCTCTTATCAAAACCACAATGATAAAAAAAAAAAAATCATCTGGAGTTTTTGTAAAGTTCAGAGGGACTTTGTGTCATTGTGCTTTACTTGCTGCACAATAGTACGTTGCACTGTGCTCTTGTCCTTGAGCTTTCTTGACTATCAGAGAACCGTTTTTTGCTGTACTCCCACTCAGATCGCCACCGATTTCAAAATTATCGTTATTTTCATCTTCAAATTTTGGAGTGTTGACGTTTAAAAACCCAATGAGTTTCATAGCTGTCTCTCCAGGTGACTGCTGGTACCAGAGCATCATCCTGTAGTCGGTCTTTTCATGGCTGCAGAAAATCTGCACTTTGGATCCGACATCAGTGATGAACTCAGAGGGAGTCTGACGGACCTCTACACCCAGACAGACACCTGGATAGAGAATGAAGAAAATATTATTTTTAAATTACAACAAATGATATATATTTAATGAAATGATTTCCATGTTCAGAAGATAAATGGTAAACAAGCTATTACCTGTCAGGCAACAGAAAAAGAAAAAATTAATCATGTTGACCTTCCTTTGATAAAGTTTCTAAGAGTTTAAACATTTAAATTGCTGGGATTTGACATCAGATCATATGACTGATCCCACAGAGGTTTAAGAGGAAAGTGCTGTGAACACTATGCTTTCTTGGATCTTACCAAGATGTGGGAGGAGTGTGTTTCATTTTAAAAGGGTTTTTCTTTCTTCTTGTGTATAGTAGACTGCACTATGGTTAGGTGCCTTTAGCTCGACTACAAACGGAACACTGAGTAACTTTAGCATTCAACACTTTTCTCGACACCCTCCTCTTTGAAGTAGCTCCTGCATGTTTAGATATTAGTATTCATTGAGCTCCATCGCCACCTAGCGGAATGACAGTCTTTTCTAATATCCTATTAAAATGTATGCCTGCTTCTATCAGAGGTTTTGGTTGCATTTTCTAGACTCTCTTAACAGTTGATTTGAGCTGTTTTTCCTTTGTTTGTTTTTTTCTTGATTTTTTTTTTTTATACACATCAGCTGGATTTTAGTAGACTTTGTCAATGATTGAGGAACCTGTGAAAAATACCATCAGAATCCTTAAAGAATATAAAGCAAGGAAAGAAAAAAAGACCTGAATTGAAACCCAAAAATCTGTATAAGAATGTTATTTGTCAGCAAGTTTAAGAGAGCCGAGCCTTTGGGCTGTGCAAGCCCACATAGTCCTTCTATTTTATGTCTTCTTTTCTCATACATCATTATCTCAGTTTTTTCACCTCATAAAGGAGCTCATAAAGGGGTTTGGCAACTATTTTGAAACAGACCTCTGACCCTTAATGTTGATGGTTATGTCAAATAACGTTGTTTTTTTTGTTTTTTTTTTGTGTTGCTTATTTGGGATTCCTTCTTAGTTGTATGAACGGTGTATTAGTACACGTATTAGTAAATGTGACTGGATTAAGCCACAAAACAATCACTCAAGCAGGTGTTTGAGAACTTGTCTCATCCAAACCACAAGGATAAAAAAATATTGAGTTTTTGTAAAGTTCAGAGGGACTTTGTGTCATTGTGCTTTACTTGCTACACAATAGTACGTTGCACTGTGCTCTTGTCCTTGAGCTTTCTTGACTATCAGAGAACCGTTTTTTGCTGTAATCGCACTCAGGTCGCCAGTGATTTCAAAATTATCGTTATTTTCATCTTCAAATTTTGGAGTGTTGACATTTAAAAACCCAATGAGTTTCATAGCCGTCTCTCCAGGTGACTGCTGGTACCAAAGCATCACTGTGTAGTCGGTCTTTTCATGGTTGCAGAAAATCTGCACTGTGGCTCCAACGTCTGTGATGAACTCAGAGGGAGACTGACGGATCTCGAATCCCAGACAGACACCTGGATAGAGAATAAAAAGATTATTTTTAAATCGCAACAGATGATACATTTAATGAAACCATTTCCGTTGTCAGAGGATTTTATTGTATGCAAATATGTTATTACCTGTCAGACACCAGAAAAAGAGAAAATGAATCATTATGTTGTTTCTTTGGTAAGAAACATTTATTTATGGATTTAAACTGCTGGGATTTGACATCAGATAACCTGACTGACCCCACAGAGGTTTATGAGGAAGTGAAGTGGGAGGAGCATGTTTGGCATTTTAATGTCAGCATGATGAGCTCCTGTCTGTGAACAAAACACCAGTTGACTCTTACTAACACCCCCTTCTTTTAGGCAACTATGCTTAGATGTCAGTATTTCTTGAACTCCAGCGCCACCTACTGGAGGACATAAAAGTCATCTCTAATATCAGATTAATTGTCAGGCAGTTTTTGTACAGCTTCTCCTACTTCTCACACCACAGTGCATGCTGACAGCACAAAAATACACACCGCTGTCATTCTGCTGCAAGTTATTCACAGTAAGAGCTCCGTTCTCAATGGCTTCTTTAATGGCTGAATATTTGTTTTCAGGCGCCCCGCCATAGTCCGGGTTCCCACGAAATACTGTGTAGACAATGAGCCTCATGGTCTCTCCTGGTCTTTGAATGTACCAGTACATCTGAGTATAACGTATATCTTTGCTGTGGCTGCAGTTCATCTCTGCAGCTTTGTTGAGGAAACCCCAGCTGATTTCAGGGTATTGAATCACATCCTGGGAATGACCTGTGGAAAAAAACCAAAGTAATTCTGATCTTTCTTTGAGAAATGTTCTTCAGCCAATACATTTAAAAAATGAAAGCTTAGGAATCTATTGCACAGTTAATATGTCCATGTACCTTGCAGCCACAGAGATGAGACAACAATCGTTATGAGCACTTGAGCAATCATAGGGATAATCTACAAGGAGATGCAGCTGGTGTTGTAAATATAAGACCTGCTGCTATTTATAATGGTAGAGGGAGGCTACAGGCATTACTTCAGTTACTTCACAGTAAGGACCTCCCATTCCAATATAGGATTAGATTATTGGTTAGAATATAGGTGCAAACACATGTGAGCTCTAAAAACGATGAGATTTTTTGTATTAAGGAGCAGTGATATGCAGCACTGTGGTAAATGGCAGCACAGAAGTACACTGCACTGATGTTCACAGTGAGATCTTTAATTGCTAATGTGCAGTTCTGGCCTTTATTTGCACTCCCATTTGTTTTCACATTGAGTGCAGGCTCTAGAATGAATTCTGAACTGCATCACAAACATACTGCTACCTTATGAAAGGACTTTAGGGAAGGGTAAGTCCTCAAGACTGCAAAAAGAGGTTATTTGTATTTCTTTTAAGCTACTGTATATGCATTTGCCCTGAGAATGTGTTAATTCAAAATGTCCTTATTAGCAAATGTAATGTTTGGGACTAGTTATACATGACATGCAGGTTTTTAAATAGACTTACATTACGGGTATGTTTAGTTTAAAACAATCCTCTTTGATCACTTGATGGGTCTAAGTTTTTGTATTAAGGGGAGGGTTTTTTATCGCTAATTTCATCATCAGTGTGCATCGCTAGCTGCACAGTACTACACTGCACTGTGCTCAGGTGCCTTTAGATAGACCACTTTAGGTATGGTACGCTGTTAAGTTTTGTGATTACACACTGCATGAGTGTGTAGTTAACTTTCCATGGACACAAACCAAGCTAGACTGTCTTCAGGTTTTTGGAAAACATTTAAAAAATGTTTGGTAGACCTTAACACCAAGAAAAACCCTTAGAAAGAGAGAAAAACTATACATGATATGAAGTGTGACTCCTAAATCATAAATGTGATTACTAATATGCTAAAACAAACTGGATGTCATCATGATGAGCTTCTGTATGAAAGCAGAATACTGGGTGACTCGAATATTTGCCAGTTACTGCAGTCCAGCGCCACCTACTGGGAGGACATAAAAGTCAAGTCATTTCTAGTATTAGTTTAATGGTCAGTTTTCGTACAGCTTCTCCTACTTCTCACATCACTGTGGATGCTAACAGCACAAAACTACAGACCACTGTCATTTAGCTGTGAATGATTCACAGTGACAGCCCCACTTCCAACTATTTCTTTGCTGGCTCAGTGTTTGTTTTTAAAGTGTACGTAGACGATAAGGGTCATGGTCTCTCCTTCTCAAACCACTTAGTTTTTGTTTTGTCAGGGGTCCCACCATAATCTGACTTCAGCCAAATTGTGTCAAGGATGAGGCTGGAACAAGACCTGTAAGAAAAAAAAAGAAAGAAAAAAAAAGGCTTTTCTTCACAGTAAGGACCTCCCATTCCAGTTATGGATTATAATCACAGGACCAATGTTGGTTAGAATAAAGGTGCAAGCGGCTGTGAGCTGTAAGAGATAAAGACTAAGAGTGAAGTGGTTTTTGTATTGAGGAGCAGTGATATATAGTACTGTGGTATCTAGCAGCACAGAAGTAAACTGCACTGCTGTTCAGGGTGAGATCTTTTATTATTAATGTGCAGGTTTGGTGTGGATTTGCACTCCCTTTGATGTCGACCCTCCATCCAGGCTCTGGTGCTCCTTGGCTTACTACCATGTATCCCAGGAAATGAAGCTGTTTGCTTTTTGTTTGCTTGTACCAGAGGATCCGATCATAGCCAGCTATACTGTGTGAACAGTTGATCTCAGCTGTTTGTTCTTGATTTTTATACATATCAGCTGGAGTCTGGAAGACTTGGTCACTGAGTGAGGAACCTGTGAAAAATATCAACAAAAACCCCACAACAATGTAAATCAAGCTGTATAAGAGGAAATCGTGAAAAACTGAAAAGTTAAGAGTGCATTACCTGACACGAGGATAATGTTAAAGGTTATGCAGAAGAAAGTGATCATCATGTTGCTTTGCATGATTAAGGAACAGTCCTCTTAAGTCTACTGTGCTCTCATAGCTGTACATTCAGTCTGCTTGATCATTCACGTGTAATTTTTGGTAAACCCTCCCATCAGGAAAATCGGGCAGTCGATGCAGTGGTATCTAGAGCACGCCTCCATCTGCCACCTTACTGACAGGACTTCAAATAGCAAAGACCTGAGCTGAAAAGAAATTTGTAAGAGAATATTAAGTCAGAACCTTATGGAACATGTCCCTCCAACAAAAATATATTTTTAAAGACTGTTCAGTGATGCATTTAATCCAGAATACAGAATGCAATTTCAAATTATTGAAAGAAGGCATCATTCTGTCTGTATTAACTTAATTGTTTTAGAAATTATTAGAAACTGATAATTAGTGGCTGTATGTGTAAGTAACTGGAATTTGATTATATCAAGTGGGAGGAGTTTTATCTTGGAGAAAGTGTCATATTTGTGTTCTGTGAGTGTTTCTGAGCCACTCGAGTAAAAGTTGCGCACTGAAAGATGTACTGGTTGTCTTTACTATATGTGGTGTTAAAAAATCAAATTCATCTTTTGCCTGAATAATATCTAGAATTTATGATTAGATACATTGCGCAGCCTTTAAGATTTGTGAATTGTAGTATTTTACGTACTAAGATCACTGCATAAAGAGGTCTTTGCAACTCTTAGTACCACAAAAGTCAAAGTAAACTTTGTCATCTCTGCTGTATCCAATGCAGCATACAGAGAGACGAGACGACGAGGCTCCGGTTACATCAGTGTAAAAACGAGCTAATAAATAGATAAAAGAAGGAGGGAGAAGAAAATAAATAAATATACGCTTAAGAGTTACAATTAGAATTTACAATTTATAATTTGGAGTGGTTTAAAGTGACCAGTGTAGCAGCTTGTAAACCCAGAGCAAAAAAGATTGTCCATAGAGCAGCAGTGGTTTACACACCAGAGGTAGTGGTGTGTAAAGTGCAAAAAAGTCAGTTAACAGATTGTGTGAGTATGTGTGGTGAGGGGGAGAGGGAGGTCTGGTGGCGAGTTCAAAAGGGACTGCAAAGATATTAGAAACAGGGGTATATCAGTACAGTTTTGTACAAATCAATCGAACCACAAAACAACAGCTAATGCAGGTGTTTGAGAATGAATGTGGAGTTTTTGTAGAGTTCAGAGGGACTTTTTGCCACTGTGCTTCTCTAGCTGCACAGTAGTACACTGCACTGTGCTCTTTTTGTGTCACTTTGACTATCAGAGAGCCATTTTTTGCTGTGTTGCCACCCAGATTTCCATTTATATCGAAATGATTTTTATATTGGTCTTCGTCAAATGTGACAGCTTGGTAGTGTAAAAACCCAATGAGTTTCATAGCTGTCTCTCCGGGTGGCTGCTGGTACCAGAGCATCACCCTGTAGTCAGTCTTTTCATGGCTGCAGAGAATCTCCACTTTGGATCTGACATCAGTGATGATCCCAGAGGGAAACTGACGGACCTCAATACCCAGACAGACACCTGAATAGAGAATGACAAAAGATTGCATTTAAAGGAAAGGAGATTAGACATTTAAGGAAAGAAATTCCACTTTCTGAAGAGCTTATTGTGTGCAAACAAGGCATTATTACCTGTCAGGCACCAGAAGAAGAGATGATGAATCATGCTGACACTTTGCTGATAAAGATGTTTAAGATTTTTAGGGATTTAAATTACTATGATTTGATGTCAAACCCCCACTGATCTTTCTTAAAGTTTAAAATTAAAGTGAAGTAAAACACTATACTGGCTGGGATCTAACCAAGAGGTGGGAGGAGTAGCTTCAGTTTAAAACATCCACTTTTATTAATGGTTCTGTTTTGTTTCAAGGGGAGGGGTTTTCCTTTCATTGTGCATAGATAGCTGCACAGTACTATACTGCATTGTGCTCAGGTGCTTTTAGATCAACAATAAACTGAGATGCGTTCTTTTCTTTCTCTGCTCTCAAATCTCCAGTAATATTGAAGTGTTTCTCTAACAGTTCCTCATTGTCTTTGGACTATAGCAGCAATGTATTTCAGAGCTTGGTCTTCTGTAGCATGAGCATGTAGTTGGATTTTCCACGGCTGCAGACCAGCTAGGTCTGTCTCATACTGTTCTGAAAAATTTCAGAGGTGCTTGGTGAACTTCCTTACTAGACCCCCACCATCTGTACTGTGTGAGTGTGAGACATGTTAAAATCCAGTGGCACGAAGGCATTATACAATAAAATAATGTGATTAATACATAAATAAAAGAAATTCCTATACAGAGGCTACAGGTATTACTTCAGTTACTTCACAGTAAGGAATTATTAATGTGATGTAATGAGGACTTGAGCAATCATAGTGAGACTACAATGAGATATAGCACCTATTTCAAATTTTTAAGCCTGCTACTGTTTATAATGGTAGGTGAAAGTTAAAGGCTTTGCTTCACAGCAAGGATCTCCTATTCATGATTGTAATCACAAGATCAATGTTGGTTAGAATACAGGTGCAGGTGGTAAGTGATAAAAATTGGTAGTGAGGAGGTTTTTGTATTGTGGATCAGTGACATGTAGCACTGTGGAATCTAGCAGCACAGAAGTACACAGCACTGCTGTTCATGAAGAGCTCTTTAATTATCAGTGTGCAGGTCTGGTCTTTATTTGCATTCCCACCAATTGTCACAGTCACTCCAGGCTCTACAGATGAGCTTGTTCCCAACATGTATCCCAGGAACTGCAGTTGGCCGGTTTTTGTTTGCTTGTACCAGAGGATTATTATAGGTGTCTATACTGTGTGAACAGGTGATCTCAGCTGTTTGTTCTTGATTTTTATACATATCAGCTGGATCTGGTGAGACTTGGTCACTGAGTGATGAACCTGTGAAAAATATCAATGAAAACATCACAAAAAATGACAACAAGGAATATGAGAGTGAATGTTGGAAAATGGAAAAGTTAAAGTGCATTACCTGACACCAGGATGATGTTAAAGCTTATGCAGAAGAAAGTGATCATCATGTT